CTAAGATGAGGATGCATTCGTTAATATTTATTGAATGCACACATTGTACCAGTCATCGTTGGGAGGACCTGGACACACAAAGTTCTTGAGGCTCAGCCCTTGCCTGAATTTGCTTACAATCTAGTGAGGGTTTTGTTTTGTTTTTTTAATTTATTTTTTTATGAGTGAGAGAGAGCAGGGAAAGGAGCAGAGGGAGAGGGAGAAGTAGACTCTGTTGAGCACAGAGCCCGATGCAGGGCTCCATCTTAGGACCCTAATATGACCTGAGCTGAAACCAAGAGTTGGACGCTTAATCAACTGAGCCACCCAGGTGCCCCTCAACTTCAAAAATTAGATAATAAGAAAGCTGTTGTTTAACTAGAGTGAGTGAGGAGTAACGTCACATCTATTCCCCATTTGACCTCTTTCCCTCAGACCACCTTTCCAAGCCCATAGGGATCACGGCTGTTTTATCTTCTAAATATGTCTAAAACCCTATGCGAGGTAAACCAATAAATCTTTCAGAAAGAGTAAATAAATAAAATATCTTCAAGGCTTTGGAGTAGGTAAAGAGTTCTTAAATAGGACACAAACATGCTAACTGCAGATGGAAGAAAATGGTAAATTCTATAAAAGTTAAAACTGTTCACAAAATCACATGATTGAGAGAGTAAAACTGCAGGCCACGGAGAAGAAAGTCTATAATTCACATACAAGACTCCTGTCCAGAATATGTAAAGAACTCCTACGTAGCAATAAGAAAAAGGCAGACAACCCAGAAGAAGAATGAGCAAAGATTTGAACAGGAGATCACTAAAGGATATCCAAATAAACATGGCAGGTTTTCCAAACATGAGTCACCATGCAATGCAGAGTAAAACCACAGTGTGATATCACTACCCCCCCAAATTAAGGAGGTGGTTAGGTAGTAGCAAACATGGACAAAGATGTAGAGCAACTGAACTTCCGTTCACTGCGGGTGGGGGGGGCAGTGCAGGTTGGCACAATCACTTTAGAAAACATCTGGCAGGATCTGGAAAGCTGAGTGGAAGGGAACCCCATGCTCGGGAGCCCCAGTGCTAGATATATACCCGAGAGAAACACATGATATGTTCTTCACATTACGTTTGTCATCACCAAATACTACAAGCAATCCAAATGTCCATCCACAGTAGGAACTGTGGAAATGATAGGATGATAGGAAATGTCTTATCCTACAGTGGGGACTAACTACAACTACGTACAACAGCATCTGTAAATATTGCAAGCTTAGTATTGAGTGAAAGAAGCCAAACACTAAGAGTACGCACTGCATCATTCTGTGTATGTGACGTTCGAGAACAACTGAACCAGTCTGTGGGGTTAGAATTCAGGAGTACTGATTCCCTTTGGCAGGGAGGGCCTGAAAAGTGGGGCCAAGGTAGCTTCTGGGGTTCTGGTAATATTCTGTTTCTTCATCTAGCTGGTGGTTATACTGGTATGTTTGTAGGAAAATTCATCAAGGCATTACTTCTCTTTATGAAAATTAAAAATTACATGATATATATTTATAAATATAAATACACACACGTATAAAATAGGTAATGTAAATGTGTTTATATACACATAGATATATATACACACACACAAACATACACACATATATATTCCATCCAAAATATAACCACTTCTGACCCTCCTCTATGTTATCTCCATTCTAACGTGACTCCAATAGTGTTTACCCACTTCCTCTCTTGGAGTCTTTATCTGTAGCCAGAATAATAGTCTTTAAAACAGAGGCTTGGTAGTATCTGTTTTTGGCTCATAACCAGCAGTAACTACCCATGTCAATCAGAATAAAATCCTCAGAGGAGACATAGATCCCTGACAGCCTGTATAAAACAGCGTCACCACACAGACCTGTCACGTTTATCCGTTTATCCTGCTTCATTTTTCTTTATAGTTCTTCTCACCAACTGACATACCATTGACTTGGTTCTCAGTTTATAACTGGCCTCTCTCTGACTAGAATGTGAGCTATATGAGAGCAGAGGCTTTAGCTTTCGGCGTCATGTTCCTGATATCTAGAATAGTGCCGGCATAAAGTAGGCAATGAATGAATGAATGAGATGATCACCAAAAAAATAGAGGAAATAGGAGCACCTGTGTGACTCAGTCAGTTAAGCATCTGCCTTCAGCTCAGGTCATGATCTCAGGGTCCTGGGATCGAGCCCCGCATCGGGCTCCTTGCTTAGCGGGAAGTCTGCTTCTCCCTCTGCCTCTCCCCTCCCCACTCCCAGCTCATGCTAGCTCTTTCTCTCCCTCTCTCTCAGATCAATAAATAAAATATTTTTTAAAAAATATATAGGAAATAGGCAGAATATATATGTTTAGGTTTCTTTTATAGGTTAAGAAACAAGAAAATGAAATTACTTGATTTAATTCAGGAGTACAGCTCAGGCCTGTTTCTCTCTCTCTCCCTGTCCTTTTTCTCCCCATATCCACACATCACACACATCTATGAAACATAATTATATAACCCTGGTGGTTCAGAATTCAGCGAGGGTGACATCCAGGTGAAGATTCATTATACTGGAATTCGGCATTTTTATCTAAGCCTTGTTTTGTGGATATATGGCCCTTTTGAATACATGATAGTAGAAAACCTATCATTTTTCTTGCCAAAAAATATATGTGTTTGGAACCTAGGGATGCTCCCCTCAGCATTCTGCATAAGAAAATTTTTCAAACAAAATAACTCCATTTTTTTAGGCTCTACAACAATTCAAAACTTTTCCGGCCCTAACGATGATTGTTCATAAGTGCGTATGTCCAGAAATTGAGATTGTTGCCATCAGAAGTCATACCTCCCTGTCCTCAGAGTGAACCGTGGGGCTCCCGGAGCAGGCAAGGGTGTTTATGGTTAATGTCTGTGTCTGGATAGAGACTGACCAGTTACCTTTTCATGGGGCCACCCAGTGGGGTCTGCCACTTGGCAGCTTGTCTAAAAACTGGTGAAATGTGTGCATGTTGGCAGGGGGAGTGGGGGTCCAGTTTGGTTGTCAACCTGGTTGGCCCTTCAATTTGGGTTAAAAAAAAAAGAGAGAGAGTTTTAGGCCCTTTCAGTTACCACATAGCTGATGACACAGTTCTGTTGCTTTGGGTTTTAATTGAAAAAATGAGAAACAGCGATAAGCCCCAAAGTCCACGGTATGTGCTCAACCACCAGTAAGAGTCTCCTTCCCCTCCTTCATCTCAGAAAGCAGTAAGCATAACATCAGGCCATAACTGTAACAGCAGATTAAATAATAAAATGAACCCCAAGATACACTGAGTATAACAAGGCCAGTGTCAGATCATTTGTTCTTCAAGAAGTTCAATCTTTCAATAAGGCAGACAATGATGGTTAGAGGGAACGATGATGCCTTTACTTCTGAGTGAGTGCAAAATAGGCATTCCTGTCAGAGGAGAAAGCAATGCCAGATTTCACTTTGAAGCTCAGAATTACAGCTCAGGAGGGGAGAGCATGGAGTAATGAGGATATATACGTGACTCCAGTACGGGAGTTCTGGTTTCATTGGCCGCACGACTTGGAAGCTGTGTAACCCAGGGCCGGTTCATTAACCTCTCTGAATATCGGCTTCCTAGGGGTGTAAAATGAGGATGGTAAAAACACCTAATTTACAGGGCTTTTGTGAAGATCCAAGAAGGTCTTAGTTCTAAAAATATTTTGTAGCCAAGAATACACTATGATAATGTATAGGATTATTAGTGTGCTTAAATAATTCATTGAATAACCTTCATACCTTCTCCCTAGCTCCTCAGGCCTCTTCCCTAAGGTTTAGCTGAAGTACTGCCCATCCCTGAGGTCTGCCTATCCCCCCTGTTGTAGATTAGGATAGTTTTCGATAATTACATGAAAAAGTTGTATATGTTTCCTGTCTGAACCAGCCTGCCTAAGCCTTCAGAATAGAACTGTGGCCTTCTCTGAAACCCAGGCATTATTAATGCTGTGCATATATGAACAAGCGATTCCCTGACACCCTTGAGGGTAGGAAGATAGATGGAGATTGAAAAGTGAGGAAAATCTCCTCCTTCCCCATCCCGGATGGAACAAATATTTTCTTCTCTGTAATAGAAAAAGTGGCTGTTTGGTTAACACGTATCCTATGCCAAGCACTGTGCTACACATTATTTGGTGTGATCCTCACAACATCCTGTACTATCATTGCTGCCTATAGACAAGAAGACTATAGACTACTTTAGAATAAGTAACTTAACCAGTGTCACATGGCGGAGTCAGAATTTGAACCCAAACCTGCCTAATTTCTTTCCCGGTCTTTCTCCATTTGGGATTGATGATTTACCTCCTACATTTTAACTAACTTTGTGTGTCTGTGTTTGCCTTTCTGTTCCTTTATGCTTTCATTTTTTGGTATGCATGTAATGAGTAGGGTAGAGGCTTAGGACACAGATGCCTAAGGTATGGTTGCCATGCTTAAGGAATTGTTGTAATCCACTGCAAGAAAGATGACAAACAAAACCTATATGACATAGAAGAATTTAAGGGTTCATAAGGAATGGTGCACTAGCCTCCTCGCCTGGAACGTGCGAGTAATACTCTGCTTTATTCAGCTGTTGTTAGGATAGAGTGAAATGCCTTTATCAAGTGTTTGGCAAGGACCCTGACTCCTAGAAAGTGCTCAGTATGTGGACCCTATAGTGTTGCCAGATAGTCCCAGGATAATAACTAGGATCCAAAGCTGGAAAAGCAACGTGGTGCCAGATTTTGAGAGCCTTGAATGCCAGTCTAAAGAGTTTGGACCTTCAGCTTGGTTAAAAACAATTGTGCCAAGGTCAGTAATCATCGCAAAAAGAAATTAGAGCTGATGCTGTTTTGCACTACCTTTCAAAATTCATCGTGAGTGAGATGGAGTTAAGGGCCACAGTTGGAACTGGTTTAAAGGACTTTTTTATATTTGATGCACTAAAAGGAAAGATGATATTTCCAAGTTTAATGCCCTGTACTTTTTCTTCCACAGTAATTAGCAAATGCCAAAGGCAGCAACTGGAGTCTGTGAGCTACTCCTCTCGCTATGCTCTGGGCCTCTTTTATGAAACTGGCACGAAGATTGATGTCCCTTGGGCTGGGCAGTACATCACCAGTAATCCCTGCATACGCTTCATCTCCATTGATAATAGGAAACGCAATATAGGTCAGTACCCCCATTATTTCCCTTAAATACAGTAACAATGGTGGGTGTAGATCATGAAAAATGCTGTTTAATTGAGTGTTGCCATTCTGAACAGAGCAAGCATTTAACTCCAAGCCACAGGGGATAAAATTTAATGTCACATTTGGCCAATAATAAAATACACAGTGAAACCAGCAAAGTTTTTCAGAAAATCATTCACCACATGGTTTGTATTACTGAGTTCATGAAAATAGTGTCAGGAGTTTTAAGATTTCAAAATGGCCCAAGTTCTATTGCTTTACTATGGGTCCATCTATATGCAGAAGTATCTCTCCTCCTTTGTGGCTTGGTGGAGTTGTTTTCTGTTTGTTTGGCTTTGTTTCTAAGATTTGCTAAGTGCTACTCTTTCCACTTCCCAAGCTAGAAATAAAAAGCGAATTTTACTATGTTATGAAAATCCTTCACTTCAGTATCATCTTATTTATTTGATTTTCATCTGGAAGACTACATAAAATTACTTTGTGTACAATATGACGAAAATGATAGGTAAATTGTTTCGTAAGAGCTTCACTAGAATGGGCTAACATCTCCACTCCACCCTTTTTGTTGAAGGTAGTTATTAAAATTAGGTTGGAATTGCAAGAATCAACATAACGCTCATCTCAGGAATAAAGGAGAAAGTGTCTTCTTCTTTGCAGGATTAGAATGATCCCGAAGATAACTGCTTTTTGACGAATAAGCTCTAATGACCGGAAACGACTAAATTCTTGCAGGGAATTGTCATTTCAGTTCATTATGGTGTTTTCTGTTGCAGTGATGGTTTCACCAAGCCATTAGTTAGAAGTCTTGCTTGATAAAATCACCAACTAACATCTCTTGGCTTGGCAGAACTTTATAATGATAGAACTGGGCTGGAGTATGGTTTTTATATCAGAGTACTTGATCTTAGAAAAATGTTTCTTTTATAACTTAAAACTCCCTCAGGGCTAGACTGTTTATGTTAACATGATACCACATATATGTACAATCAGCAGTTCATGAAATGCCCTGTAACAACAATGGAGTAACCATTTTTAACTCTACAACTTCTTTGTTCTGAGAAAAGAATAGCCCTTGATCTTCTCATGTTATATGTTATGAGTTGGACATTATCCTTTGTGTCCTGTTTCATAAGATACGATATCTGTTAGGATGTATTCAGTAATATGTAACAGAAAAACCAATTTAAAGTTGTTTAAACAACATAAGGGTGTGAGTTATGTTATATTATCATTTGTATTATCTGCTGTGGACTGAATTGTATCCCTCCGAAATTCATGTGTTGAAGCCCTAATCTCCAGTGTGATTACATTTGGAGATAAGGCTTTTAGTATATAATGAAGGTTAAATGAGGTCATAAGGGTGGGATCCTAATCCAGGATGATTGGCGGCCTTACAAAATGAGGAAGAGAGAGTTCTCTCTCCTCGTGCACATACTAAGGGAAGGTTGAATGAGGATGGTGAGAAGGCGGGAAGGCAGGCTTTCTGCAAGCCAGGAAGGGAAGCTTTACCAGAAACCCAATCGCCTGGCACCTTGATCTTGAATTTCCCAGCCTCTGGAGCAGAGAGAAATACATTTCTATTGTTTAAGCCATGCGGTCTATGCCATTTTGTTACGCTGGTCCAAGCTGACTGACATATTATCGAAGAGGAAGAAGTTGGGGAGACATCAGGAAGGATCAATTCGAGACCTGAGCAATATCTTCAAGGACCTAGAATTATCCTTCTCTGATCTCTTCACTCTTGAGGTAGAGACCTTCTTTCTCGGAGGATTGGTACAAGATAGCACTAACCACTGGAATCACATCCAGACCCAACATGTTCAGGAAGAAGAGGGACCATTCTGTTTCTGTTTCTTTCTAAGAATCAAGGAATTCTTTCCAGAGCCCCCTCAACTGACGTCATCTTGTATGTCATAGGTCAGAATTCGGTTTCTTGACCAGTCTGAAAGTCATCATTCACTGGCAGGGGGGATGGGACTGCCACGAAGAACTAGACAGATCAAGATTTACTCCTGGAATTGCTGTTAGGATCATCTTCCTTGAGTCATATGAGGGGTAGATACCTGAAAAAATAGGGTTTTGTTTGGAGGAAAGAAGGGAGTAGCAGATGCTAGGTTGGCAATACATAACGCCCATCGTGAATTTTCAAGTCAAGTCACATCGTAGACGGGAGGTAAATTTCCAAAGTTGACACATAAAGAGAAGAACCGTGTAGGTTCAGAATTATCTTTGAAAATCACTTAAATCTACATGACATTTTGGAGAGAGAAATACCTTTCAGTAAATTCAGGATAGCCATCGTTCCAACATCCCATAGATTTCAGTTTCTTTGGTTGAGGCCAGATGAAGTAGTTGGCTTGCATTTATAGGACAGAGTGATATTTTCTACCGTGAACGGCGCATGGAAAGAAAGAAATAGCAGTCGTAGCTCCTAACAGATTAAATCGCTGTACGAATGGAGTGGGGCAGTGAGTGACAGCACCCAGAGTACAATGCAGTAGCAATTTATTAAAGAGGCATGCAACTTTGAAAGAGCGCAAGAGAAACATATTAATAAATTCTCACATGATTGGCAGCATCTGAAATAAGAGAAATAAAAAAAAAATTTTTTTTGTATTAACAACCACAGAGTTTTAAAGCGGGAAGGCTGGGTAGATTGGAAACCCTGTTTTTGCTACAGCAGGTGCCTCTTCGGACAGCAACGAAATGCCTGCCTTTCTTTGCCAGTTTTATGGCAAGTTAATCTTGGATTATGCGAGTTTTAAATTATGGGAGGCCTCCAGTAACGGCGTCCCCTAACATAAAATCTAACTGCCTTGCATTTAAACTTTTTTTTTTTTCCCTCACTATCTGGGGCCAGGGTGCTACGTGTGTCTAGTTGAATTCATACAATATAAATGTCCACGTAGAATAACTCGGCTGTATTTTATTGGTGCTGATAGTTAAGTAGACCAGTAAGAGTTGTCTCTTTATGTTGCTAACACTACCCCGCACCCACCCTGTCCTTGGAGTGTCTGATTGAATCTAGAATGAATACTGTAAATATACACAGTCAAGTAATGAAGGGGCGGTAAGGCAGCAGCAAGAAAAAAGTGGCAGGGTTGAGTCCACAAAATGCAGTCTGTTGTTAAGTCTTAAAGAGAGCCAGAGGATGAAGGATTCGTGGGCCAGACCAGACAAAGGTCAAGGAATAGTCATTTGTCAGATGTCGGGAATAGGCAGTTCATGCAGAAAGCCACAGTGAGAACCCAGATCTCCTCAGGCAGAAGGGCTGAATTCCAAGACATGTGAGACCCAGCTTCAGGTACCGATAGTTAGGGGTGGGAGCCACTGTACTTAGGTTTGTGTTTCCCAAAATGCGTTCAATGGAACACGAGTTCCTTGATATGCTCTGTGGGAAGGGGCTCTGTGATCACACACATTTGCAAAATGCTACCAACTTTATCTCGAATTTAGAGAGTTTCAGGTCATATTGCTCTATTAAAAGACATTCCTGTTTTTAAAAAGCCACCTTCTCACTCATGTAATCTAAAATTTCCCAAATGTATTTGACCAGGGGTATTTTATTTGAGTGCCATACCTACTAATATCCAACAGAAATGGTGCCCCTGGACACCCTTGGGAAACCCTGACTTGACATCACTGTGTGCCTCCAACCTGCAGGGGAATCGTAGGCCAGTGAAGGGGGGTGGCAAAGGCTGATCTGGAAGCCATCAATAGAAAAATACTGATTTTATTTTTTAGAGATGGGAGAAGCTTGAAGCTACCCTGGAACCCACCAAGAGTTGCCTCATTAGAACAAAAGGTAACTTCTGGGGCGCCTGGGTGGCTCAGTCGTTAAGTGTCTGCCTTCGGCTCAGGTCATGATCCCAGGGTCCTGGGATCGAGCCCCGCATCAGGCTCCCTGCTTGGCGGGAAGCCTGCTTCTCCCTCTCCCACTCCCCCTGCTTGTGTTCCCTCTCTCGCTGTCTCTCTCTCTGTCAAATAAATAAATAAAATCTTTAAAAAAAAAAAAGAAGATAACTTCTATCCCTCAAGAAATTCCAAGGGATTTAGGAGCTCCATGTTAAGAACCAGGATCAAAGACCAACTATTTGAACAAAAGATGTTTTTAGTGCTCTTATCACTTGGGAAATTACAAAGATTTTAGGAGCTCTGAGCCAGGAGCCAAGGGGAGAGACTAATATATGTATATATATTCTATTATTTCACATCTCCCAAGAAGATCCCAAGAGATCCCTCTCAAGATCTTATATTTGGAATTAGCCTGGCCAGGAGTAACTTCTTAGATTCAACTCAGTTCTACCTGTTAATAGCTGTTTGATTTTGGATAAATTACTTAAACTATCTGTTTATTGATCAGTATGTTGAGGAAAACAAAACCAACCCCAAAGATTTGGGGATGAAATGGCTTTAACATATAAAAGGAGTTTCATATAGCACTTAGCAAGTAATAAGTCAGTATCTATAGCACCTATCATTACAACTAATAATGCCTCTCTTGCATTTGGATATTATATTTCCCAAAGCAAAGGGCATAAATATAAAAGCCTCCCTTTGGTGAATGCAGCCCTCTGATACCAGTGCAGATAGGAGGCTGGGTGGCCTTAATAAGTAAGATATATAAGTTACCCTGAAAATGGTTGGTCACAATTTCAGCATCCTTCCCTGTTCACCATCAGGAAGAGTATTAACGATAGTAAAATAGCCAATAGGCAGCAATCTGAGGAGATTAATATAATCTGCAATTCTAGAAATGTCAATGGCCAATGACTATAATTACACAGCTTTCGATAACTCATCAAAGGAATCCGTTCAATTCATCCCCAAAGAAAACAAACAAATGAACAAACGTTTTCATCACATGGAATTTACACCTGCCAGGACTTTACTGTCAGGGATCCTTGAGTAACAAACGCTAGTCTAATGTGTCTTGCCTCTAACAGAAGACGCAGGAATGTTCTTCACCGAGCTGTCGAT